CWGAACATCTTGTGTAAACTKGGCTCTGGCCTCATCCWGKGGGGGATTCATTAGAATAGGGGSACATTACTGCATTTGTGAAGTTTCTTATTGGGRAATCCTAGATAGATATGCTAATTCCTGAAACCTATAAAACTTGTACCCGTGCTGTACATGGGTGTGCATTCTGCCATCAAGTTATTCCCTGGGATCCCAAATACCGAGGTAAAACCCTTTTTATCCCCTTAACCGTGTCTGTGTCATTATTAAAAACTGGCCTTTCAAGGCAACAAAACAAGTAACAAAAACGAGAGCAACAACCAACCCAGCCACAAACCCAGTGACAGCCTCACACAGAGATACCCACCTGATTCCCCGGCGGCTGCAGGCAGCACTGTGCCATGGGTCCCGGCTGGTTCAGATCTCCCAGTGGCCAATGTCGGACGCAAACCRGAAGAGATGGATGGAGAAAAAGTTCCTCTGCAAACTCACAGGGGAAAAGCCGATCTCGGTGCTCCTCTGGACAGCAAGAAACCCCAGAACGGCCGGATGAGCAAAAAAAGACGAGCGGAATCCTGCAGCTGTGAGACAGGATGGAGCAGAACTCAACCACTGCAGCTGGAATCTCAGGGGTTCCAGCAAGGCACAGGGGCAGAAGATCACAGTGCAGCAAACAGGAACAGATGACAGGACGCTGGATTCTGCAGCAGCACATCGATTGTCCTCCCCCAAGCCAAGCAGGGCAGGAAGTGAAGCTTCCCTCCCACCCCACACACACACACCCTCCCCGAGCCCAAAACTCCCACGAGAACTTCCCTCTCTCCAAAGAGAGGGAAAAAAACCTGCCAGGCAGGAGAAGTGCCCAGGGAGACCCTTCAGCCTCATCTAGGGCATAGCACCCTCCTTTTTCTTCCCCAATTACCCAGCCATCRAAAGAATGACTTGGCAATCAGTGTATCCCAGCAACAAAATGGGAAGGAAAATTCTCCAAGAAAGGAAACAAAAGGAGAAACCTTAATCCACAACAAACGTGGTTCTGATTCTGTCTTAGAGGGGCATGGAACCAGCCTGGCCTCCTTAATTCCCTCTTACCAGCTGTTATTACCTCAAATATAAGAAATTTCAGGATACAGCACCCCAGAAGTTTCTATCCACGCTCTCCAAACAACACTGTAAAGGCGTTCCTTGTTACCCCACAGAACCTGAAATTTTCTCATAATTTCCTTTCATTTCTCAGGCCTGCAGTGTTCAAACCAAGTAATTCTTCTCCCTTGCTTACCTGCCTTTGAAACACCTGGTTCACAGACCCTGCTGGCATTGAGATCATCATTCTAGGTGCACATCATCTCAGAGCTGGCCATGCTGGTGATGGGATCTGTCTCCTTCAAGGGAAACTCATCCTGTCCCAAATGATCTGAGCCAGGTGGGAAYAATCYTCTCTCTYTCTCTGCCCCTCTCTAGGGAACACAGAGCTCAGTTTCCCCCAGCTCCATCATTTCTGGGCAGACACACAGGTGAGCCCACACCTAATTTTAGCCATTCATTCAGACCCATCCCTAACATTCTCTGGTAAAAAAGCATGAGCTGGTGAGCCACCCTCTGCTAGAATCACTCCTTTTGTCCTCTCCTCGGCATGTAAAACACTGCCTGGCATTCATGGGCTGCTCATGTGGGAGTAACCTGAGGCAGTCTGAGTGCAGGAAAATCTGGACATGTAGGAAAAGAGGTGGAGTCGCCTTCAGCAAGAAAACCTCACTTGACCGTCCCGTTTTCTTCACAGCTGGTGTTTCAGCTGGGGTGGAGGAGGACGATGCTAAGGCCAGATGTTGGCATCAGGCACACAGGAGCTGAGCAGGTTTTCTCCATGCCTTCCTGCCAGTGCACATTAATCCTGTGCCCTCTGTCCTTCCRGCTCCTGATCCTTTCCCTTAATCCTTCTATTTATACCTTCTGAGCTGTTGTCTCCTTTCCTGCGTGCCAGTTTTACACCGGTGTAAATTCCTGGATGTCTGTGGGTTTGTCACTGGCTTTCTCTCACGTATAAAAGAAGAGAGTTAGACTTATYACTTCTGGGTACCAAAGGGAGTATYCCCTMTCCCTTGGTRCTGGAAATRCTCCTTTTTAATTCCTATTTTTCATCAGCCTGCTCCAACACACCGCAGCCTGCTGTTGTTGTGGTGCTGTATTCCCAAAATGTACCCCACAAAGCTGGGTCAGGTGCAATGCATACCTGCTGAGTCAGTCTGGGATAAACACTTCCAAGACTGAGTTCCTTGGCACCCGCACCAGCCAGGAGATGTCTATCAGTAGCTTTTCTACCAGTAGTCTTTTAATTTTTTTCCAGCTTCACTCCTCCACATTCAGCCTGGCTAATCCTGTCCTYGGGATTGTTTAGTGCTCCTCATAGTTCCATCGAGGAGAGCCAGCGAAGGATTTGGACCTTCTTGTCCTCCACASTGGCCAAACAGAGGAAAAAGCCAGGGCTTGTCTTGCAGGACTGAAATCTAAAGGCAGTGTGATATGTTCTTAATAAAGCAGTGATTCTATGAATCACAGTAGCAAAACATTCTTGCAGAGCACAAACCCCACTCCCTGACTGAAACATCCAAGGGCAGCTGTCCATCGTTCCTGAGGAGGAATTCACCTCGGACAGGGGTTGGTTGTAGCCCCCTGTGTCACACAGGAGTAGCTGCAATTCCAGAGTCTCTTTTAATGAAGCTCCTGGCAGCTGTTTATTGGACAGGAATAAAATTCCGACTGGCCCATATAACAAACGGAGCTCAGCTACAAAAATGTAATGATATTTATTCACCCAGCTGCCAGCAAACTCACATGCACCATGAGTCATTCCAGATGTGGATAAAAACAAAGTCTGTCTGTGAAAGCAAAGTTTCCCGATCCCGAGGAGACTTGGTTTGGGAGAGGAGCTGTGCGCTGATTTCAGCGCCACTCATAAGAACAGACAGGCTCTTCTGCAAAGGGGGAGGGGGGGAGGAAAAACCATTATTTATTCCTGAAAAGAAAGGAGCTCGGAAATTTAAAAAAAAAAAAAAAAAAGCTGCTATATAGCTAGACATGCGTGTTTTAAAGAGAAGGATGCTTTGGAAGACTTTGGTGCTGCTGCTGTTCTGTTACAGCGCTCATGCCACTGTGAGCCACAGATGGAGCAGAGGTAAGATTTAAACCTGAAAAAMTGTTTGAGTGAAAAATTTGAGTTTGTAGATATTTGGTCTGGAATTATGTTGCATTAGACATGTATGTGTATATATATATATATACATATATATATATATATATATACAATTTGTCCCTCCCAACTCTGGAATTCTTTTTCTCCATTAAACAGATCAGCTAAAAATATATATAGTTAAATAGAAAAGAATACATGAATAAGTGCAAAAAGGTAAAATGATATATGTATTTTGTTATAATAAAAAAAATATCTAAAATATCCCAAGAACCAGAATTGCATTCTTGCACTTTTTCCTTTCTCTCTTCTTTCTAATTTTTCTCCTGCATTAACAAAAAATGAAGGTTATGAAGCTTAAAAGTAAAAATCTTTGCAGTTACAGGTGGCAAAATCTGCTCTATCAGGGAGATACCTGGTAATAGTAAAGGAAAAAATGCCTGGATTGTGTGAGGTGCCTGGGGATGCTGCTGCCCTGCCCTGGCAGAGGAGCTCAGATAACACAGAAAAGGGACCAGATGTGTGACAGCACAGAGTGGTGACACATCTGCGTTGAAGTGTATGGCAGCAGCATATGGAATGTTTGGGGGCTGCAGGATTGCATAGGAGGTGCTTGCTTCAAAGCTGGTGATGATGTCCTTTCCCTTTTTTGGGTTTATTCTCTCCTCTGGYATTTGGCACGGGGTCAGCAGCTGCTGGAAGTGGAGAAAGGAAACACCTCCCAAAAGATTTCTTTGGTTCTGATGTTGAGGTTTTCAGACATTTAAAGGAAACAGAGTCTGCTGAATAAAACAGAGCATTCCAGTGCCTCCCTCCCTATGCAGTTTCTCACATCTTCCTCATCACAGCTGATGCCATTCTTGTCTGCCATTTAGGGCTGGTTTTGGATTTGTAGGAGGAGGAATGGTTGAAGGAATTAATGAAGAGCTACACAACAATTAAGCTCAGGCTTAATTGTTCCTCAAAATGCTTAATTGTTCATTTAAAAAATCCTTGTTTGTGGGGCTCACGGGTGGGACATTGGCCTGGGACTCACCATGGAAGGTTCATTCCACATCTTTTTCATCAGATCATCAGATGATACTGCATAAGTCATTGTACCTGTAAGTCTTTATGTCCTTTGCTTTTCCCTTCTGGTGTAAGAGAGGAAACAGCACCAATTGTCATAATAAAATCCCTTAATTCTATAGGGAAGAGTTTGTCTTTCCAGGGGTGACACATAAAAATGTGAGGAAATCAGAACTAGATCTGTATATACTAAAAAAAAAAACCCAAAAAAACCTCAAAACCCCACCCTTGGGAAGAATGATGTCACCTTACCTAAGAAATAGGGAAAAAATACTTAAAGAAAAAAAGAGGATTTCATTTCCATGGAATAATCATTATGTATTTTTAAGGATGTCCTTCACTTTTGTTAACACACTTATTAAAATTAAACTACATCACAACTCTAAAAGGAATTCATGCAACTGCTAAAGTCCAATTTTAATCATGAATATTTAAAGGAAAACATCAGAACTCTATTGTGCCTTTTGGGAAAGCAGATTTTTTTCCCAAGCTTAAAACTCTAACGCTTGTTTTTGGAGACTTCAGAGAGAAGAGAAGATTCATTCCCTGTTGTGATAAGGAGTTCAGCTGTCACAAACAGTGGATGCAGGCATTTCCTGGGGAGGAAAACAGATTTCTTTTCCACAGCTACTGTTGTGCTCTAAAGATGGTTTTGAGGCAGAGCTCCTTCACTGAATCTCTGCTTCTCTGAACTGTGTGTCAGTCAAACCTCAGTATCTAGGGAGGGTCAAAGCACTGTCTTAATTTTTTAATTTCTTCAAAACCTAAGATACAATTTGAGTACTGAGACACAGCACRCTCTTCTGCACACTCAGAGCCCTTCCCTCCCTCCACAAATGACAAGTGAGCTTTGTTTAGGTTAAACCTCAGTCATTTAAGTCCCATCCAACTCTTGACTGGGGTTTTACAGTAAAAAGGCAAAGGCAGATCGGCATCCTTGTGACGGAAACGAGAGACAGATCTGTGCTGCTTTGTCATCCYGATTGTTTACAAAACAGCAGGGCAAAGGTCTTGCTCTAATTGCCAGCAGTTGTTGTTTGCAGTAGAAATGAGCAGTCAATAWTGTACAAAGCAAGGTCTGGCTTTTGCCATTTTTTCACTGGGAATCTCTGGAGCCGCCTGGGATCCCCTTTTAACCAATCATCCAAACTTTGGCTCAAGAAAAGCTCAGACATGAGAAAAGATGAACACACTTGTGCTGGGGAGTGGGAACTTCCAACTGCCTCTCTTTTCCCTTTGTTTAAAARCATCAATGAGTGTGGAAAAAAAAACCAAACCAAAACAACAAACATTTCTGGCAGGAAAACAGTGCTGTATTATTTTCTTTTTCTTTTTTTTCTTTCTTTACTGCCTCAGCCATTTGCATTAAAAATTTCACACACGCTCCTCAGCCTGCCCAGACTGAGCTGTGGACACCGGTCCAGAAATCACAGGCAAGACTTAGTCCCTAGGATGGGTGTGCTTAGAATAACAAAGAAAAGATCCTGAGTGAATGATGAAATAATTTCCTTGTCATCACCTCAAGTTTCCTTGAGCCTCTTGTAGGCTTAGCTGCACAAAATTACCCTCTCAGATTTTGTGAAGCTGCTCTCTAGGAAAAAAAGGTAATGAAAAAAGGTAATCAAAAGTCTCTGCTGACTAAATATTATTCCCCACGCAACGGCAGAGGTGAGGACATGTTAATTTTTTTAAGTGCTAAATAAGAATCCCACA